CCATGCTCAATATGGCAGGTGCAGCAGCTCCACCCTAACCCAGTGTGCTCCACATCACCTTCTTACAAGTCCAAGTGCCTCATCTCGACCAGCTGAGGAGCCCCCAAGATAGGCGTGATATCCATGTTGCCTTTCGCCACTCTGTATTCCAAAAATGGTGACTACCCCATTCACAGCTGTGCTCGAAAGTCCACACCTAAACATAAGTCCTGTGGTTTCCCAACAACCACACAAAATGGCAAGAGCACGGCCTCGTGGTTTTCCTGGTTTATATCTCCATAGCCCCACCCCTTAATGGACTTGGCTCCTTCTGTAGAACATGGGAAGGAGGTGGGACCATAGCTTGTCAGAGGAACTTCTGGGTCACAACTACCCTGACCAACAATTGGAAGGGAGGTTTCTCCTGTCTGGCACTGGTTTTTTGTTTGTTTGTTTGTTTGTTTGTTTTTTGTTATATAGCCTTCAGCTATATGCATGCACTCGTATACTTATTGTATGTGTATTTTTCAATGGGACTTTGAACTAATACATTTCCCTCTGGTTTTTCATACCATCTAAGCATTATTTATTTCTCCTCTCCTATATAAGCCTCACTACTACATCCCCAGTTAAAGTACCTCCTTTCCCCCTTTCCTCAGTAATACCTGTCTCCTAATACCCCCCTCTCTCGGGCTCCTTCTTCCCCTTTACCCCCATGATTCCTTTCTAATTTCCTGGCTCCTGCAATTGCATCAAGATATATACTCATATCTAGTGATTTAGTGCTAGATCAGGCAAGACAATCTCTTAGAAACATGGCCACAGGCCAGTTGAAGAAGACAATTCTTCAATTGAGGTTGCCTCTTGCCTAGTGACTCTAGGTTGTCAGAATGACAATAAGAATTAAGAGGCACATTTAGATTACAGATTCCTTTGGATTTATACACAGGAGTGACATAGCTGGATCGTATGGTAGTTTAGGTTTTGGTTTTCTGAAAAACTTCCATACTCATTTCTATAATGGTTGAATTAATCTACATTCTACCAGCAGTACATAAAAGTTCATTTCCTTCACATCCTTACCTGTCAGCATTTTGTTGTTATTTTGATGACAGCCATTCCTCTCTCCCTCATTTCTAAATGATGGCTTTGCTAGATACAAAATTCTATTGACAGATTTTTTTTCCCTTTCAGTAGTTTAAATATATTCTTCCACTGTCATCTGGCCTCAAAAATTTCTGCTGAGAATTTGACTAATAATCTTACTAAAAAGCCTTTGTGTATGACTGTTCTAGTTTGTTTCTCCATTGCTGTGATAAAATACTCTGACCAATACCAATTTGGGGAGGAAAGGGTCTATTTGTCTTATATCTCCCAGGTCATAGTTCATCAGGAAGCCCAAGGTAGGAACTCAGGATAGAAAACTGGAGGCAGGAGCTGGAGCACAGGCCATGGGGGAATGCTGCTTACTTGCTTGCTCCCCTGGCCCATGTTCAGCCTGCTTTCTTACACAGCACAGGCCCACCTGCCCAGGGGTGGCACCACCCACAGTGGGCTGGGCCCTCCTACATCACTTAATAATCAAGATACCCCCACAGATATGGCCACAGGCCAGTCCAATAGAGTCATTTCCCCAATTGGGGCTCCCTCAACCCAGGTGTGTCAGATTGACACTAAAGCTATCCAGTACAATGACATTATGTTTCTCTTTTGGGTTTCATGATTGTTTCCTTGTCTACAAAGTTTGACTGTAGGTTTATTTTACATGGAGATGCTTGAGCTCTTGCTCTGTAAGTCTGTGTCTCATCAAACTTTGGAAGGATATTTTTGTTTCTTGTTTTTTTTCTTCAGATCTTTCTGCCTCTTTCATGTTCTGCTGTAACTCCTAATACACATGTTGGTTTCCTACACATCCTATAGGCACTCGTCTTCATCATTGTCATTTTTTTCTGTTTCCCAGACAATTTTAATTGTCCTTTCTTTGAAGCTTGCTAATTCTTGATTCTGCTGCTGCCACTTCCAGGGGACTGGGCTTGTTATATGATCCAAACTGACCTCAAATTCACTCTGTAGGCCAGGCTGACCTCAAATTCAAATTTTTCTTGCCTTAGCCTCTGAATGCTGGGATTATAGGCATGTCCCCCCATGCCCAGATGTTTAAACAAGGGCCCTATGCTAAGCAATCATCCTACCACTGAGCTGTGTCCCTAGCCTTGGTTCCTTTCCATATTCTCTTTTTGTCTTGGTGTTTTAATATTATTTTATGTAATTTTTAGGTATTTTCCTAATTTCCCTCTACCTCTGCTTCTTTGTTCATATTTTCCTTTAACTCCTTGAGTATATTTAAGACAGTTGTTTCAAATTTATTCATAAAGTTCAATGCCTATTCTTTGTAAATAGCCTCTACTGCTCTGTTTTCTTCCTTTGAATGAGCCTTATTTTGTTTTTCATTTGTATTGCTGGTAGTGTTCCTGTTGAAGCTTGTTCATGAAAAACTAGCTGCCATTCCCAGTCTTTATAGCCTGGTTCTTGCTGGAGCATTCCTTCATCGAATAACTGCACGTGCTCTCAGTCTTGAGATCAGCCTTAAGATGAAGGCTTAAGGTCTTTTCAGGTGTTTTCTGAGCATGCATCTTACCTGGCCCAAGTTTGGCTTTGTCAATTCTTCTGTATATACAACTGCTTCTATGCCTTAATTTTCCAAAAGAATCTCAGCTTAGCTTTTCCTCTGGACTTCAGTCTGCTTTGTATCTTTACCTATAATCTCTTAACCTCCAGATATGTCTCACACTTAGTGCCCCCTCAGTTTTCCTGAACATCATCCATACTTTTCCACTAGCTGAGATCTAAGACAAAAAACTAATCCTTCAGGTAACACAAGGCAGGATAAGAATATTCACTAAGGAGATTAGTCAAGAGCAAGTAAAAGCCACAAAATTTCCTACCTTTTTTTTTTCTTTTTAACTGTTTTCATAGGTTGATACTCGCCAGTTTGGGATTTTCATATATTCATGAGCGATTGAGGCCTTCCTCATATATTCCTAATGAGTTTTATGTGCGTTTACATTTATGTGAGTTTTTTTGGACTATGTAGATCTTTTTAATCGCTATAATAAAGTAATTCCATATTGATGTGTGTCTCAGCTCTCACCAGAGAAGCTTCGTCATGCAACAGATGGTGATTAACCTAGAAAGCCACAACTAGCCAAAATGTAGAAAATAAGAGACTGCAGAGTGTGTGTCCCTGGATAGGACTCCTGTATTAAACCTCAACCACCCAGGGCTCAGGGACCATTGCAGAAGAGGGGGCAGAAAGAATGTAAGAGCCAGGGGTAGTAGATGACCACAAGGAAACAGAGTTTTCCAGGTGGCTACAAAGTTGTTCATGTGAACTTACAGCAATAGTGACAGCATGCCCAATACCATGCAAAGTCAATCAGATAAAACCCCAGCTCTATTAGAAGTGGGGAAATGGGTAAGAAATCTCAACTTTAGCTGAGGAATTATTGGCAACTGATCACTGCTGGGTGAAAGAGAGTTGGTCTTCTATAAGGGAGTAATGGTAGATAGGCTGACCAGTCTCCAGTGGATGGACTCAGACCAAGGGATATGCAGGGACATAAACCTGACTTGATAGGTTTTAACATACATGAAAGAATTCATGAAATCCAGCAGGAGGGCTATGTAGAGAGTACAGATGGGGAAGGGGTCTAAGTATGATCAAGATATATTGTATGAAATGTATAAAACTTCAGTTAAAGCCGGGCGTGGGTGGCGCACACCTGTAGTCCCAGCACTTGGGAGGCAGAGGCAGGCAGATCTCTGTGAGTTCAAGGCCAGTCTGGACTACATAGTGAGCTCCAGAACAGCTAGGGCTACAGGGAGACCCTGTCTCAAAAAAAAAAAAAAAACTTAAAAAATCTTAAAGTAATTCTACCCTAGAAAACAGAAAAATATTTGAGTAATGAAGTGTAGGTAATGGAGGCATAACTACCTACTCTTCCTAAGGAAGTAATCTTGAAGATTATACTTAATTGCCATCTAAGTTCTAGTTTGGTGTTGCTTTTAAATATTTTTTAAAATTTTATTTATTATTTTTATTTTATGTGTATGCACGTATTGCCTGCCTGTAGGTAAGTGCACCCGTGTCGTGCAATGCTTGCAGAGGTCAGAAGAGGCTGTCGGATCCCCTGGGACTGGAGTTGCTGACAGTTATTAGCTGCCATGTGGGTACTAGGATTTGAACCCAGGTCTTCTGCAAGAACAACTAGTGTTCTTAACTGCTTAGCCGTCTCTCCAGCCCCTTGGTGTTGCTTTTAAATCTCATTTTCATGGACTATGTGTCTATGGTAATCTTTAAATGTGCAGGTAAATCCTGGCAAAAAGTGGGTACAGACATGTCTTTGTAAAGGCACAAGCACTATTGCTTCTAGTGTAAGTAGGATGATCTGGAGTCTCCTTTACATCTTATTCTGTGACATCTCTATATTTGACTATATATAACTATATTTTTAAAAATATTTTGTAGGATTTATTTTTAAATTATGTATGTGTGTTGTATGTGTCTCTCTGTGGGGTGGGGGGGTGTACATGTAAGTGCAGGTGCCCACAGGCCAGACTAAGACATAAGATGTCTTGGAGTTGGAGTTATAGGCAGTTATAAGCTCTCCATCTTGGGTGCTGAGAACTGAACTCAGGTCCTTTGTAAGAGAAGTGCATGCTCTTAACCATTGAGCCATCTCTCTAGTCCCCTTGTTCTCTATTTATACATGGATTTCAACTGTAATTCATTTCTCTTCAGTTTCATGCTTCATTTAACTGCATTATATGTTAAGTTTATCAACTAATAAAATTAACTTTTCAGATACTGTTCAGTTAGAACGTGCCTCATTTAGTCATGTTATATTTGTTAAATTCATCACCTAGTGAAATTATCCTTTCAAATATTATTCAATCATTAATAAATTTACCTTTATGTAAATGTTAGTAAAATATTACAAAATAACTTTGTCTTAATGAAGGAAAAAGAACTTGTGTGAAGAACTTGAGAGATGTACTGATGATTATTTGTCAGAATTAACAATGGTTAAAAGGTACATTGAGGAGAAAAAAAATAATTTGGATGCAGCTATGAAGATAGCAAAAGAACTAAAGTCAGCACCTTCACTGAGGACATACTGTGACCTGACTCAGGTAATTTTAATGTTCACAATTGAATTAGTTCTGTGGTAGCTTACTTTATATACTTTAGACTATTTAACTTAATGAGAAGAATTTTTCAGATTACATTAACCTCTATAGGTACTTCTTGGCTTATGATGAGATTACAGTCTAATAAACCCATTACAAATTGAAAATATTGTAAGCAAAAGAGGTTTTTAATTCAACTAACCTACAGCATCATGACTTAGCAGCCATGTAGAGTGTCAGTTGCTTTTTCTCATGACCAGCTGATTCTCTGTTATACCAGCATAGTAACAGTGGATCAAATCACATGTCAGTAGCCCAGAGAAAATATTGAAATTCAAAAATCAGATATGGTTTCAACTTAATACATACTGTTTTCATAATACTGTAAAGTAAAAAAAGAAGAGACTGTTAGCATCAGTTGATAAATCTTAGGTGTTTGAATTCTAAGACACACACTCTTATTTAGTAACAGTGTGTTACTAAATCTCATTTAGCCTTTTGTTACTTTTACAATTTAGGAAAATAGTCTTCATAAGACATAATCTGAAATCAAAGTGGTAAGGCAATGAGATGAAAACTGAGGTTCCTGTTACTTAGATTCCACCACTATAATAAATGCCTAAGATTACCAATTTATAAAGGGAAAGGGTTCTTTGGCTTACAGTTTTGAAGATTTCAGCTCATAATTGATCGACTACTTTGCTTTGAGTTTGTAGTACACCTTATATGGGAGGGCATGGCAGAGCAAAACCATGTAGCTTTTGGCCAGAAAGGAAAAGAGAGAAAGGAAGGGGCTGAAATCTTACTGTCCCCATTCAGTGATTCTGCCAGTGACCTCCCATTAGTTCTCAACTCTTGAAGGCTTCTACCACCTTCCAGTAACACCACACTAGGTATGTTTACAGAATCCTTAAGTTGCAAACTGTAGGAAGAGTTTCAGGATACCTGAATTTAAAATGAGGACAGCCGAGATGGTGGCACCCCCTTAATCCCAACACTCAGGAGGCAGAGGCTAGTGGATCTCTGTGAGTTTGAGGCCAGGCTGGTCTACGCCGCAAGTTCTAGGACAGCCAGAGCTACACAGTGAGACCTTGTCTCAAAAAATAAACAAAACTGAGGACATATAAGAGTAGCAAACTAAGCTGGGCATGGTGGTGCATGCCTTTGATCCCAGCACTTGGGAGGCAGAGGCAGGTGGATCTCTGTGAGTTCAAGGCCAGCCTGGTCTACATAGTGAGTTCCAGGACAGCTGGGGCTACAGAGAGACTCTGTCTCAAAAAGACCAAAAAAAAAAAAAAAAAAAAAAAAAAAAAAAGTAGCAAACTAAATGAGACTCTTGTTTTCTTACAGTAAGTTTAGATATAGCTGAACTCAACTTAAAATTTTAATTCAAGATCCCATCTTCCTTAGAAACAGTTTGATCATCTATCCTCTGTTGTCTTATCTTATCTTGTACATAGCTGGGGAGAAAAGTTGAGCAAAAACAGAATTTTCTTTCTTATAATATGGCAGAACAAGATTAACAGTAATCTTTGCTTATTTCTGCTTCATTTTCTGAAGATGAAAAACCTGCTCTTAATCTTTGTGCCCTCTGGATCTCATTTCCCACAGATAAACAAATGTGTATTCTTTACTGAGGTATGGAATTAGAAGCTACTGGGGCTGGAGAGATGGCTCAGCAGTTAAGAACACTGGTTGTTCTTGCAAAAGACCCAGGTTCGAATCCTAGCACCCACATGGCAGCTAACTGTCCGAAACTCCAGTCCCAGGGAATCCAACAGCCTCTTCTGTCCTCCACGGGCATTGCACAACAAAGGTGCACTTAACTACACACAGGCAATTCACGCATACACATAAAATAAAAATAATAAATAAAATATTTTTAAAAAAGAATTAGAAGCTACTGACTTGTCTCCAGAATTTCTAATTTTAAATGAAAGGTGAAAAATATGCCACTATCAACAACATTTATGACAGAATACCTAAAATCTGATGGGGAGGGGGCTATGGAGGGGAGGGAGAGTCTGAATTTAAGATGTATTATATGAAATGTACAAAAGCTCACTAAAAATATTAAAAATGAATGCCACTCTTATTTGGTCTGGTTTTCCCCTAACTGTAATTCTAAAAACAGCAATAGTCACTCCTGTGCATTATATGTGAGGTTTTTAAAAAAGTGATAAAATTCGGTCTTTACTCTGCTTAATTTAGTTAGGATGATGAGGCAAAAGAGGAAACATTTGACAATAAAAACACAGGAGCAGAACAAATCTGACCAGAACTTTCTATGGTCTATAGTTATATTCCAATTATTAGCTGGTATTTTTTTGAGTATCTGTTCATGTATACCTCAAAGACTTTAAACTCCTTTAAAAAAGAAATTCATAAACATTTGATTTGCATCCTTTTCTTTGCATGCCCAAAAAGTAGCCTTAAGTATTTTAATTGAGTATCTAAAAAATTGTTTTTTCCTCTCAAATCTTCTACTTTTAGCAATATTTGTGACAAGAGAAAATTCACACATGAATTGTACTTTTGTAATTCCCTCTCAATTCTAGATTATCCGGACCTTGAAGTTATCATTTGAGAGTGAATTGTCACAAGTTAGTTCTGTAATACTAAGAAACCCTCCCAGGTAAGTAGCTCTTCAGGAGATCGTAGCAAGAGAACCTTAAGTTATTAAATAGCAAGTAATTATAATTGAAATTGGGGTCCTAAATTTTTCCTAAGATAACAGCCAAATTAAAATAATTATAATTTATGATAAGTTAGAAATTAATTTAAATACTTTCTTTCAAATTTAATTTAATGTCAGCAACTGTGTTGTTCAGAGAGAACAATAAATTCATAGAAACATTTATTTACATACTAAATATTTCAGGTTGAATATGAATTGCAGTGAGATTATCTGCCTGTTCAACAAGATGGGAAAGATTGAATTTGAGAACTCAACAAAGTAAGTATTTTTAAGAATGGCAACATGCTGTTAGTATCTGGTAATGCCTATGTCTTAAGATAATGCCTAAGTCTTAAGAGAGAAATTGATGTTTAATATGACATAAGAGTCAAAAATCTAAAGTACTGGTTTCTATAGTTAATTTCTATGTGTGATACTTAAAAGACCTAGAAGAGATCAGTATTGAATGATGTATGTATTGGCTCTTTGAAATTCAGTCAGTCAGTGAGCATTGAACACTGGTTTTTGTGCTAGACACTAACAGTCTAGAAGATACTGAAATAAATATCCAAGAAATAACAAGTAAAATAGAAAAGATACAATGCCTCGTTGTGATAGTAGATACAGAAGTTATGTTGCCAAGGAATGGAATGATCATTTCTTCTTGGGGTAATAGAGAATTTGGAAAGAGATTTTATTTTCACTTATCTGTGTAAAGTGAGTAGCAAGTAAAAAGGAGGGCAAATGGAAGGTAGGCTTCTTAGAAATACAAGGACAGTGAACTAGCATACTGTATTAAAAACACTGCTATAGTTATATTCTGAGTATCACTACATGTGTATAGAAGTGAAATCCTAAAGATTGTATGCTATGTGGTAGCATTTAAACTTATTTCTACTTAAATATTGTCCATTGTGGTAGCTACTGGCCATGTGTGCTGTTTAAATTGAGCACAAATTGAACTAAATAAAATGACAAATCATTTCTTGGGTTACATAAGCATCCAAAGTGTTTGGTTGTCACATGTGGCTAGTATATGCCTGTCTTAGTACATTTATACTGCTGTAACAAAATACTTGAAGAGAAATAATTTCTTCAAAATCTGGAGCCAAGAAAATTCAAGATCAGGGCCCTGGAAGATTCACGGTCTGATGAGAGCCCTTATTTCTGCTTCCAAGATAGCACATGGAGGGTTAGGAATATAGCTCAGTGGTAGAGTTCCTGGATTCAAGCTCTAGTAGAGGGAGGAGTCTATATGCCAAAAATCTAAGGGAAGATCTTGGACTTGATTATAAATTTGGGATATTTATTTTGGCCTTTTTTCCCAATATCCAGACAGAAGTGAGGAGGCAAATTTTCAGGAGTTTGGTTATTTGCAGCTTTATTTGGAATAAAGGAAATATAATTAATCTAATAATTTAACTGTGTCCTGATTAGTCTTAATTGTCAGCTTCACAGGACCTAGAATTATCTGAGAGTGTTGGGTAACCCTGCTGTTAAGGTTGGCTCCTTTCTCAGCAGGGGCTTCCTGCCTGACTTACCTGGAAAGTGCCTCCAAGCATGGATGCCTGACCTTATTCAGAACATGACCTTTGGCATAATTACCTGCAATAAAACTGCCCCCAGGTTTTTTCTATATCATAATTAGGCATTTCCCTATAGCCAAATGATAGGATCCCCCTACCACATGTAAATAAAGCATACTATGAGCTATGAGCACCTATTAGCTGAAGCTTTGGCTGCTGCCTCCACACTATATTTTCCCTAACTACCACTGAATAAATGGAGCTGTTTCACTGAGTCTGGAGCTATATCACTGAATCTGCCTCCCCGGAAGGACTTTCTTCCATCAGTGCTCACTGGCCGTCCTGACCCCGTTCGTCACTTCTGCTCCCTTTGTTCTCATGACCCATGAGGGGAGGGAGAGCCCCACATGAGAGGAGAAGCCTCAATTGAGGAATTTCATAAATTAGGTTGGTCTGTGGACATGTCTGTGGATTGTCTTGATTGTTAATTGATGTAGAAAAGCCCAGCTCACTGTGGGTGACACCAGCCCTAAGCAGATGAGTCTAGGATATATAAGAAAGCTGGCTAAGTATAAGCCTGCCAACAGGCCAGCAAGCAGAATTCCTCCCTGGTTTCTGCTTCAGGCTCTTCGAGTTTCTGCCCTGACTTCCTCTGTAATGGGCTATGACCTAAAAGTGTAAACCAAATAAATCCATTCCTCTCAAATTGATTTGGTCAGAGTATTTTATCACAGCAACAAGAAAGGAAACAAGAACAAACAGCATCAGACAGAGATAGCCTACTGTCCTCTCCACCATGAGGAAGACCTTGCAAGAGGAACTAGGATACCAGTCCTTACGCCCAAGTCATCTTTCCACAAACAGTGCATTGGTGATCCCCACTCTGTATTTGCCTCTGTGATTTGACTCTTGGGGCTCCCATGTATAACCAACATTCTTTGCAGATAGGCAGTATGTTATTTTAGATATTTTCACAGCTTGATTATGGTTTCTGTCAAATATTTTTATAATTGTCATTCTTCCCATTTATGACTCTTTGGTGCTCTTGCATTGATATTAAATTTAAAACTTTTTGAAGGTTTAAGGTAAATTCTACTATAACCTACCACACTTAATTATAGGTAGTAGTTAAATGATAGGTTTGCCCAATGAGAGCATGTATTGAAAAAGGTCAAGGACAGTACTATGGAAAAATACTAAAACCTACAGCAATGAAAAAGTGACCTGGAAAATAAAGAAAACTTAGACGGTGCAGGCAGAGAATGAAGGAAAACAGAAGAATGTGGTATTAAATGTGTCAAAGGAAAATTGACAAGACTGGAGCTGGTTAACAGTGTTAAAATTTTGGTGAAGTCTGATAATTACTATGCAAAGGTGTTTATAATACAAGGTTGTTTACATACATATGTTTCTCAAAAGGGTCTAGACCTTTATGCAACTTATATTTTGCTAATGTTAAGTGTTACCTTCTGTTGGAAACAGCAGATAAATGTGCCATTGCTAAATCCAGGTGGCTTGCTCCTATTTGTAAATTGTCTCACCAGTGTTCTGTGAAGAAACTACATCATGAGTTAATGAAAATGTAATCTTTATACCTCAATTTTATTTAATTTTAAATTCTCTGATTATAATATGATTCTCTTATTAAATATGATGGCCTAAAATTTTCTGGGTATGTTCATATGGTAGAAAAATAAGAAGTAGGGTTTGGAAAATGCCTCAGTTGCTAAAGTACTTACTCTGCAGTCTTACTGTGTAGGACCTGAGTTCAGACTCCCAACATCCATGTAAAAAACTGGGCACAGCAAGCATGTGCCTGTAATCTCTGCACTAAGGAGGCAGAGACAGGAGGAAGTCCTGGGACTTGCTAGCCAACTAGTCTAAAACAAAAAGGTCTGGAGAGCAATTGAGCAAGACATCAGACACCAACCTCCAGCCTCCATGTATATGCACACGTGTGTCCATATACATACATGCACACACATGCACACACACAAAGTGTATGCGTGTATAAAATAAACATACCCAGAGGATCAGGTAGTGTGGAGGTTTGTGGACTTTTCTCATGGTTTTCTCAGGGACTTGTTCCCACATTGTTTCTTATACTTTATTTTTAAGGTGATGAATTAAAGTAAGAAATCTAATTTAGGGGACTAGAGAGATGGCTTAGCAGTTAAGAGCATTGACTGCTCTTGCAGAGGATTGAGGTTCAGTTCCCAGCACCCACACAGCAGCTAACAACTGTTCATAACTCCAGTTCCAGTGGATCTGATGCCTTCTTCTGACCTCTGTGGGCATTGCATAACACGGGTGCACTTACACACATGCAGACAATACACTCATACATAAAAAATAAAATTAATGAATAAAATAAAATCTAATGAAGTGAAACATTTAAGACAAATCAAAATGACTTCTTTTGAAAATCTTTAATCCTTTGGAATCAGATGATTTTGACATGACTAAGGGTTTAAGCTTTTTGCTGTTTATAATACTTCTTGACTTTTTAAAACCTTAAAGCTAACCAAGTGTAATGGCACACACCTGTAATTCCAGCACTTGGTAGGCTGAGGCAAGAGGATTATGAGTTAGAGGCCAGGTGAGTTCCAAATCAGTCCTATGTCAAACAAAACAAAACCCTAAAGTTTGCTTGAGGCTTTGAATAGGCAGAAAGTTTCCTTGAGGGCTTGAAATAGGAGGAAAGATTCTTTTAGACTGACGACAGTTTTCTGAAATTAGAATATGGCAAGATTATACAACTCTGTAAGGTTACTAAAAGTCATTAAATTGAATGATGTGTAATTTGTATATCAATAAAACTATTTACAAATACCTCTAGGTTGCCTAGATAACATTGATCTTTCGTATGTGTCACAGTATCAGTTGTCAAGTGGGAAAGAAATGGCTTGAAGTCCAATATTAAAATAGCCCTACTGTGTATTTTTAAACAGATGTTACCCTCCAGAAACTGAAGTTGGACTGAATGTTCAGAAGAAATGTAATAATAAAAAGGAACTTTCTTGTGATACATACTCATCACTAGAAAAGAAAAGGGTTGGCATGTCTGCTCTAACTGTTGAAGCAGCTGTACTTCCTTTGCAACCAGAGACCAGTGATACACATTTAGAAGGGAAAAGTATGCAGCCACAGAAAGAGGTGGCTGTAGTGACATCTTCTAAAACCATTACTGTGCTTCCTCAAATGGGATCTAGCCCTGATGTGATAATTGAAGAAATTATTGAGGAAAATCTAGAATGTGAGTAAAAATAGAAAAGGGGGAATCTTTTATCCATAATTGAAAGTAATTGCTATGTTGTTGTTCATATGCTTGACAGAAACATACTGCTGCTATAATCTTATACTTATTATGTTAATCAGAGTTAAGGCATACTGATGCCATGCTCCTATCGCTACATTTTCCAAAGTTAGGAAATTTTGTCTTTTAATTATTTATTTATTTAGGGTTTAGGGGGTATAAGGTTTTATGCCATGATGCATGCTGGCCAGGAGCTCACTATGTAGCCCAGGCTAGCCTCAGGTTCTTGAGTGCTGACATGAGCCACCACTAAACCTGGCTTTTTTTTAAAATATACTTAATTATTATTTTTATTTTATGTGTCTGAGTATTATGCCTACATGTATGAAAGTGCACCCGTGTTGTGCAATGCCCTCGGAAAACAGAAGAGGCTGTCAGATCCCCTGAAACTGGAGTTACAGACTGTTGTTAGCTGCCATGTGGGTGCTAGGAATCGAACCTGGGTCTTATGCAAGAACAGTGTTCTTAACTTCTGAGACATCTCTCCAGCCCCCTGGCTTTTTTTTTTTAATGAAAACTAAATTCTGAAGTACACTTTTAATATTTTATTTACTTAGGATATTTGACATTTTTGTGTTTACACCAAGTTTACATCTTTATGTAAGCTTGGTCTAATCAATACAAATAAATAATAGATGGAATTTGTGGAAACAGTTTTATAAGATTGTTCATAAATTAAGACTGCTTCTTACATCTTTGTTCTGATATTTAATCTGTTTTGAGATAAACTGCTGTGAATATCATTTTATAAAAAGTAAATATATCATGGTTTTATTAAATTCACAGTGTTGGTATTCTGTCTATTAATGTGAGAGTGGTATATGTATATACTTTTATACTAGCAGTCTTCTTTGTGGCAGTTTTTAACACCACTGTCTGTTTATTGATTAACTCTAGAATGACATTTTTTACTAAAACAAAATTGGAACTTATTTAAAAGATTTTAATATAGTTTTAAACAGAGAAGAGAGAGGGAAATGTTTCAGAAAAGGACAGTAGTACACACTCAAGAGGAAGTATACACTTCTCAACAGAGTCCCAGAATGACATTTTGAATACCAAAAAGGGACATACTTTTCTCCCCTCTAAATGATCATTATTGATGTTTCAATGGCTTGCGATAACCTGTCATGACTTTACTTATAAGAAATCTTACTATTTTGGTGTTTTACCTATTCAACCACAGCTTTTTAGACACTAGTGTGTGGTCACTGTCAACATTAACAAAATTGCTAGAGCTGTCTTTATTTTTCACTTTGATAAAGCATGCTTCACAGATGATACTGTGGAGACTTCTCGATACCAAAAAGAGCCTCTTCAGAAAGAGCAGTCTGCTCCTGTTGGATCAAAAACAGGTACTATAACAGCTGTCCCAAGTTTGATAGAATGGTGTTTGCTTGATGTATAGTAACTCTTACCTAGACTAAGGCAATGTACAAAGCATTTTGCCACCTAAAACCTTTCTCTTTTTAATGTTTAAAGTTTTGAACCTCTGAGAAGTAATTTTGAAATTTATAATATTTCTTGCAGTTATAGCCTGTTGTTATTATGTATGCTGCTTTTTCTTCAACATTCAATGTCTGTTTTTGACGTTATGATACAATAGGTTTCATCATGACATTTTCATATATTTGTGGTGTTATGCTTTGTTCTCATTTGTCCCCCTCCTGCCTCTTGCGTTTCTCCTGTTTCCCCCCCAGTTGTCCCTCATCTGCTTTCATGTCATATATGTTCTGTTACCTTCACCCCCTCCCTTGTCCTTTAAAATATCATCCTTTGGACCTGCCATCTGTGCTCTGTTAGGACCTTTGTGGACCCCCAGATATGGGAACTTTCCCAGACTTGATTAATTCATGATAGGACTCTCCGCAGGGAAGCTTCCTTATACAACAGATGATGATTAATACTGGCCACAACTGGTCAGTGTACAGAGAATAAGAGGCTGCAGACTGCTTATCCCTGCATAGGACACCTATATCAAACTTCTGCCTCCCAGGGCTCGGGGATCATTGTGAAAGAGGAGGTAGAAAGATTATAAGAGCCAGAAGTGGCGGATGACCACAAGGAAACAGTTTTCCAGACAGCTGGTCAGTTACTCATATGAACTCACAGCAGTGGTGACAGCATGCATAAATCCTATGTAAGCTCAAGTCAGACAAAATCCCAGCATAGACATGGGGATGTGGGTAAGAAACCCCAACCCTACTTGAGTAACTGTTGGCAACTGATGACTTCTACAAAGGGGAAATTCAGTCTTGTTTAAGGATGAGACTCTTGGTAGGTTGACCAGGCTCCAGTGGAAGAACACACACACTGAAGGGCTTTTGAGGACACAAACCTGATTCTATAGGCCTTAAATATATATACTAGAGTATAGGAAATTTGATGGGGTGATACAGGAGGGGATCTAAATATAATCAAAATATTTATGAAATTTGCAAAAATTCAATAAAAAAGAAAAAACAAGAACAATAGTAGTCAGGTTTTTTTAAATCTCTTCCTCCCTTATTTGCCTTTCTAGCTGACCTGTACATGCAGACACCCCACATGTAAATTTAAAACTAGAATCTGCATATGAGAGAAAATACACAGTATTTATCTTTCTGGTTGTACCCTATTTCACTTAACATAATGATTTCCAGATCTATTCATTTCCCTGCAAGTATCGTTATTCACTTTTCATTACAGCTAACTAAAATTCTATTGTATAAATAGTCTACATTTTTTATTCATCTGTTGATCAGCATCTAAACTGGTTTCATATCCTAGCTGTTGTAAATAGTATAGCAGTAAACATAGATATGCAATTATCTTTGGTTTTTTGACCTAGAGTCTTCTATATCTGGGTTATATAGTAGTTTTGTTTTTAGGTGTTTGATTTTTTTGATGATTTTTTTAAAAATAGGATCTTGCTATGTAGTGCAGGCTTGCCTCAAACTTGCTATGTAGCCCAGACTTACCTGGAACTCAACAGTTATATGCCTGCTTCTGCATCCAGAGTGCTGAGATTAAAGGCATTCACCACTATGCCTGTCAGGGGTTGACTTTTGTACAGGGTAAGAAATCTTGTACCTATAGGTAGACCGGCATCCTCACCAAAATCTTGTATTTCTTTTACCCCATTCTCAGTCTTACTCTGGATGGTCTTTGTAGTTTGTATTAAAGAGTTCAAATAATCCTACCCTAGGAGTCTAACCATTATCAATGGATCTCTGAGGTCCAAATGGGATCACAAATAAACTCTGAATTTTTATTATAAAATGGAGTTACAGCATGTACTGTGACTTCAGAACCTACCGTATGAATTTAGTTCCACTTACAGAAAATATTTTCAGTATAGACAAAGTATGTGCAATTGTGGTTGCTAAAGTGTTCATTGTGGAAGCAATATAGCTCAGTGATAGAGTATTTACCTAGTGTGTATGACACTCTGGGTTCTGTCCCCAGCAATACACACACAAAACTAAATAATTTTCTTTGTAGACATTTTGGGTTTAGACTCTTTCCTGAGGCCTAATTATGCTAGAGTTTCATTGCCACAAGACAGTGTTTCTTTGAGAGGATATAGTTGTTCACCTTTTGTGAGTTCTTTCCTAGTTCATGTTTTAATAATGTACATTAAATATTGATTCTTATCCAGGTTGTCCAGAACTAGTTTTTGTAAGCCATGTTATACATCCTTGTCACTTCTACATCCGTAAGTATTCACAAATAAAAGATGCTACTGTATTGGAGAAGAAGGTGAAGCAAATTTGCAGTAACAGTCCACACCTTAATCCTTCAGACATTTTGGAGCTAGGTAAGAAAAGATTACTCCAAGTTATTCCGTCAAGTTTATTTAAACATTTAATATTTGACAACCGACATAGCCTTCTTTTTCTTTTTACAACATACACATAAAAGTTAAGCATAAAAGTTTGGAATTACTTTACATATTATTTAAGTAGGTTAGCTAAATATTAAAGTCAAATGTTGGCACATGTTGGGAGTAGGAAAAACATAGAAGCTCCGCTGTGTAGTGGATTGGATTGCTTTTGAAATTACAGACCCATGGCAGGTTATGTAGCCACCTTTTCTTCAGAAGGAAGTATTGTAATGGGGATGGGTTCAAGTTTATAAGGATTCTCATACCTCATGTGGCTTCAGCTAGATATACAGCCTCTCTTTGCTTCTATTGGAGTAGGCAAGAGGTTGACCCTTTCCTGCCCATCATCAAGGATCACAGACAATGTCCTGTAACAAAGATTCAGAACAGATAAAGAATAACAAGTCTAGTAATGTACACATGTACACAGGAGCTACATAAAATATGAAACTCAAAGAAAAGGCTAGATTGTTGATGATTAAATAACCTCTTGATAAAGAGGAGGGAACAAGGGTGGAAGGGAAAGAAACCAGAGTCCACAATAATGTCGTCTTATGCAGGTAAGTCCTTCAGGTTATCTGAGAGCTGCCCTTAGAAGAACAGTAGAAAATCCTGCTGTGCAAGGTGATGACTTCTTCCTGTCCTCTTTTCTCTAGGGATTAATCTTTTCTGGTTTTCTGACGAGATTCCTGTGGAAGGAGTTTACAATAGTGCTATTCTTTTGTTTTGGTTTTGGTTTTTTGTCTTTTTGAGACAGGGTCTCCCTGTAGCCTCAGCTGTCCTGGAACTCAGTATGTAGACCAGGCTGGCCTTGAACTCACAGGGATCCACCTGCCTCTGCTAGGATTAAAAGCGTGCTCCACTACTCCTGGCATAATGCTATTCTTTTGGAAGTTCTCTTAGATAAAGGAACTTTGGAGAGCAGACCTTGCCTTGCACTTGAGGGAGAAACAAGAGAAGGTTAAAGAGACTTTAATCCTGACACACTTTTTCTTTGCCCAGTATGTCAAAATGCAACACTTGACTTACCATTTTCTAAGCCCCAGCATCTCAGGTCCCTGTACTCCCTATATTGAAAGTACCCACTCCATAGGGTGGTTGTGGGGATCAAGTGGATTCAAACAGAAAAGAAGAGTAACTACGTTGTATAAGTTTTGGTATGTGTATATACATAGAGATGTATGTATATGTGTGTGTACAAGACCAGATGGTTTCAGTGTAGTAAGTACTGTGTATATTGCAGAATTTATTTACCCGTCTCTCTTCTTTAGCTTTTTTTTCTTTTGTTATAGAAATACAAATTGTTTGTAAAAGAGGGGGAAGGCACTCCTGAGGGTAGACCTGGGCTAGAGAGCTGTGAAACACAGCCACTCAAAAGCCTTCCTTTAGTTTTTCGATGACAGTCTCATTTGTCTGTGTTAATGTATCTTATTAAATAGCTTCTTGAATGACTTAGTATTCTTTGTGGGATTTTCGTTTATGTTTTACTTATTTTTATTTTATGTGTATGAATGTTTTACCTGCATGTATGTAAGTGCACCTATGTCATGCAGTGCCCACAGAGGTCAGAAGAGTGTGTCGGATCCCCTGGAACTGGAGACGGTTGCAGACAGTTGTTAGCCTCCATGTGGGTTCTAGGAACTGAACCCGGATCCTCAGCAAGAGTAGCCAGTGCTCTTAACCACTGAGCTATCTCTCCAGCCCCTTCTTTGTGTTATCCCCTCATTTAGCTCACGAGTGTCTATACAACAGAAGCTGACATAATAGATTACCTTATATTCTTTGCATAGCATTTGACACAATACCATACCATTTAGTAAATAAATGAATTAAGACTTCTTAGTTGGAGAACTAATATACATGTTTGTAAGTTAGAACTTTACTTGATGTTTCTTTGTAAATGTTACTGATTTCTCTCATATTATTTAGGTGCACGAATATTTGTCAACAGTATCAAAAATGGAATGTGGTGTCGAGGAACTATCACTGAATTAATTCCAATGAGAACTAAAAGTACTAGAAAGTCTTGTAGTCCAACCAAATTCTCAGTCTATGAAATTTCACTCATACAGATATTCATGGTAGATTTTGGAAATTCTGAAGTCTTGATTATCACAGGGTATGATATTTTGCATTTGTTATGTGTTCTTCAGCTGCTTAGAAACATTTATGGAAAAAAAAATAAAGAATGAAGGAAATTAGCAAAGGTTAAAGAGTAGTTTGTCATTGTTCACTTCCAAGGCATTTGCTTTATTATTTTGCTCTATATTTGTCTTACTAATTTGGTAAAGCATTGTCATTTATTAATATTACTAGAAGAAGAGCTTTGAAAAGAATGTTTCAGTATACTTCAATATACATCAAATGTTACTTCAAATGTTACTTCAAAACAGGAAATAATACAGCTGATGCTTTAAAATAAAGTGTTATTAGTTAGCTACAGAGTGGTTGAGTAAAAATTTTAATCTTGCTTCCATAAATTCATTAAAGGATTTTTAAATGTCATGCTGTCTGTTTCACTCTAGGTGTACAAAACTGTTCTCTGAGTTCTTAGGAAAAGACACTGAAGTGGTTTTGTAGTGAACTATTATCTGTAGACTAGTTACTTTATTTAATGGTCATAATAGCTTTATAAATAAATGTATATTTCACAGAGAGAGTCATTATTCTCTTCAGGTTTAAGCTGAATGAGTATGTGAAATAAAAGTAGCTGATATTTAATCTATGTAGTAAAACAGTGTCTGTGTTTATAGAATCTATAATTTTCTATATAGTAAAAGGTATGAATTTAGCATATAACTTTCTAGAAGATTTAATTTCATGTGGTTATCATCAGACATACATACCCTTTAAAGGAGAAAAGAAAAGGAAGTTTAAAGATTGATTGAACTGAAACTTTTTTTCCTTCTTTTTTATTTTATTTTCTTTTATTTTTGAGATAAGCTCTTCGTATATAGTCCTAGTAAGCCTAGAACTTGCTATATAACCGTATTAGCTATAGCATAGTTACTTTATTTAATGGTCATAGCTTTATAAATAAATCTATATTTGAGAGAAAGGGACATTATTCTCTTTAAGATGAATGAGTATGTAAAATAAAGATAGCTGAGATTTAATCTATGTAGTAAAACAGTGATCTCACAGAGATCTGCCTGCCTATGTGCCACCGTGCCCAATGAAGCATTTTTTTTTCAATAAATATTACTTCTTTCTAGAATTGGTGATACCCCTGAGAGACCAGAACATTTTGCCGAGCAGCATATTACACTAAAAAATTTATGTCTGGTTCTAAGGAAGTCTGAACCATATAGTGAAGAGCTATTGAAAGACATCCCACCATTATCATACCCGTGCTCCTTGAAAGACATTGTTCCACATAATTCAGTAAGTGAGATTTAAATTATTTCTTCTTCAAAAACTAACTATTCCAGTGTTAGTTACGTGTTGTCAGTGAGATTGCTGACCATATGCTGAAGGAACAAGTTATCTTGACAAATACGTTTTGCTTAGTAAGCTATTAGTACCAGTAAAAGATGAAATATGCTTCAACTTCCATAATTAAAGATACTTTTTTATTTAAAAAAGTATTTTATTTATCATTTTTATGCCTTGTGTGCATGAGTGTATTGCCTGAATGTATGTAAAGTGCACCCATGTCATGCAGTGCCCCCAGAGGTCAGAAGAAGACATGGGATCCCCTGGATCAGACAGTTGTTAGCTGTCATGTGAATGCTGGGAACTGAACTGGGATCCTCTTAACACTTACACTAAGCCATCTCTCCAGCCCCCATAATTGAAAATATTCCTAATGAGAACTTAGTTCAAGAAGTTTATGGAAACAAAATGAAATATCCAAGTAAGCCACTATATTTTAGAGGCAGTTATATAGAGGGAAATATTTTAGAAGATGGTATGCATGTATTTCTATACATTTTTCCTTCTTTCTGTGATACTTTGTAAATTATTTACCTATGGCCCATGTTGCATTGTTTTGTATTTGTGCATCTGTTCCCTAAAGGAGACTGTAAGCTCCTAGGAGACTGTAATTGTGTATAGTAGTATATGTGAGGCAATTCTTCTGTTATGAGATCTATGAAGGCAGAAGTCTGTGCCTTTGTTCATCATTGTACTTCCAGTACTTAGCAGATTCATTTCTCTCTGCCTTTTTTTATTTTGTGAGCCAGGATCTCACTATATAGTCAGCATTCAGCAAATTTTGAACAAAATAAATACCTGAACTTTTTAAAAAGAAGGGGGCTGAAGAGATAGGTCAGTGGTTAAGAGCACTTACTGCTCTTGCAGAGGACTAGCGACCTATCTTCTGAACCCACATCAGGCAGCTCACAACTGCCTGTAACTCAAACTCCAGGGGACCTGGCTCCCCCTGCTGGCTTCCTTGGACACCTACATACAAGCATGTGTTCATAAAGACACATACAGGTACACCTAAGTAAATATAAATAAATAGATAAAAATAAGACATCACTATGTACACCTGGCTAGCCTGGAATTCAGAAAGATACTCCAGCCTCAGCCTCCAGAGTGCTCGGATTAAAGGCATAAGTCATCATGCCTGGCCTTTCTCTGCCTTTTGTAGCAGAATTATAATTTATAGAAAAGATGAAACCAAAGCCAGGAAATACGTATGTGTGGACTCAGCTGTGAGAGAATGTGTAGAATCAGAACTGTGAGAAATCAAAAACTAATAAAAAAATATAACTATGAGAAGTATTTTCCTGAGAAGGAGTTCCTCTTCTGATATTATGGCTTTAGTTTTTTCTTATCCCCAGTGTGAGAGTTCTTGAAGAATCTTTAACTTTTTTTTTTTTGAGATAGGGTCTCATATGGCCCAGGTTGGCCTCAAACTCCCTGTGAAGCCAAAGATGATCTTAAATTTTCAATCCACCTGCCTTCACATCCTGAGTTCTGGGATTATAGAGGTTGTCCTAGTTTGATCTCTGTTGCTGTGGTAAAACACTTTGACCAAAAGCAATTTGGGGATGAAAGGGTTTATTTAGCATACATTTTCAGGTCATAGTTCATAATTGAGGGAAGTCAAGGCAGGAACCTGAAGAAAGGACTGCTTGCTGTTCCACACAACATTACACTTGACCAGGGAACTTACTCATAGCCATGGGAGTAGATAGAACCAGGAACTGTGGAGGATGCTTAGCTAACTAACTTTCTTAGGCAGTCCAGGGCCACTTCCCTAGGGATGGTGCCACCTGCAAAGGGCTGGGCCCTCTTACATCAATTAAAAATTAAGACAATACCTCATATACGTGACCTCAGACCAACTTGATTTAGGAAATTCCTTAATTGAGACCCCTCCTCTTAGGTGATTATGGCCTATGTCAAATAGACAAAGCTAACTAGGACAGAGGTGCACTACAATATCTGGCTTATGTGGTGCTGGAGAATCAGACCCAGGGCTCTGCTAACAGCTATAGCTCTAGACCCTAGGGTTTATTTCTTTAGTGTCCATCATTTAGGGTCTCTGTTAAACAGTTATAGTACTGTAGCTCTAAAATAGCATTCAAGGTTGGGTGTGGTGGTACATACCTTTAATCCCAGCACTTAGTAGACAGAATCAGGGGGATCTCTGTGAGATCGAGGCCAGCCTGGTCTACATAGGGAGTTCTAGGCCAGCTGGAGCTACAGGGAGACCCTGTCTCAAGAAGAAACAACAAAAATGCATATTCAAAATTAACCTTTTGAGTTTTTATAATTAAAGTGAAAACTCATATGTAACACTTTTATTTTTAAATCATAATTTTCATTAATATTATAAACTAAAACTACTTATAAACATCTTAAGATTGTATCTATAGCAGCGGAGCATGGTGGCACATGCCTTTAATCCCAGCATTTGAGAGGCAGAGGCAGGTGGACCTCTGTGAGTTCAAGGCCAGCCTGATTTACATAGAAAGGCAGGCGGATCTCTATGAGTTCAAGGCCAGCCTAGTCTACATAGTGAGTTCCAGGTACAGGGAGACCCTGTCTCACAAAACAAAACAGACTGGGTTATGATCTCAGCTGCTTCCTTAATGTGTGATTGGTAGAGTGCCTTTGCTGAGAGTTGCAGGCTAGTTACAAAACTTTGTCTGACTTTGTAACATTAGAACTAACTGTAATTACTAACTGGAATTTTACTTTTCACACAGAGTGAAGGCTGGGAAAAGGAGGCTAAAGTAGAATTTTTGAAAATGGTAAATAACAAAGCTGTCTTAATGAAAGCTTTTAGAGAAGAAGATGGTGTGCTTATTGTAGATCTACAGAAACCACCAGCAAATAAAATAAGCAGTGATATGCCCGTGTCTCTTAGAGATGCATTGGTTTTTATGGAGCTAGCAAGGTAAGTAACTTGTTAAAACTTAAATATTCTTCAAAATCAGAGTTTTTAAAACATTGGCATCTGGACTGGGAATGTAGTTCAGTTGGTAGAGTGTTTGCCTAGTATGCATAAAGCCCTGGATTTGATCCCCAGCACCACAGAAACCAGACGTAAGTAATCCCAGAATATAGGAAATAGAGATAGGAGGATCAGAAGTATAAGGTTGTCCTTAGCTACATTGCAAGTTCAAAGCCAGGCTTGGCTACCATAAGATTCGTCTTTAAAAAAAAATTATAATGATAAGAAAAATCATGGGCTCTAAAGTGAACCTCACTGCCCTTAGAGATTTATAAATATTGCTATCAGGTTTTTTGTGAAAATTGCATTTAGTAAATTTAAGGAATGAGAGAAATTAAGGGAATTTAAAATAGAAAATATAAGACTGAAGAAGTGGTTCAGTGGGTAAAAGTGCTTGCCACCCAAGTAGAAGGTCCTGAGATCTAATACCCAGAACCCACTAAAAAATGCTAGACAGGAGCTGGGATGGTGGTGCTCACCTTTAATCCAAGCATTTGGGAGGCAGAGGCAGACAGATAGCTGTAAGATGGAAGCCAGGCCAGCTGGGGCTACATAATAAGACCCTGTCTCAAAAAAACCCAACCAGACAAAACCAAAAACCCGCCGATCAGAAGCATAGCACAAGTGTCTCTTCTCAGTGCTCCTAGATGGGAGGCAGAGCTCAAGGGCCAGGCTAACCTGACCTACACAGTGGGAAAACAAGAGACCTTTGTCAAACAAGGCAGAAAGCAAGACTCTAAACCTAAGGTTGTTCTCTGGCCTCCATGCGTGCACTGTGGCATGTGCACACGTTCATCCTCACATACACAATAAATAAAATACATGGATACAGGATAAGCACAATTTGGACTTTGGTAACTTCACAAGAAGCTCTATTAGACTTCCAAGAATTGTGATTTAAGTGTTCCTGACTTAAAATTTTATTTAGTCTTTGGAACGAGTTCTTGATCACTAATCTATGCTTAATGTCTGACTCCAACATAGACACTCATTTTTTTCATTTCTCATAAAAGAAAAAAATAAGGTAACACTTGTGTGGCAAGCACTTTTTAAAAAATTTGTTTTTATTGAATTTTTGTGTATTTCATACAGAACATTCGAATAAATTTTAATTATTTTTATATTCCCATCCTCACGAGCACCCCCCCATAGTCCCCCCCCCCCCCGGAATTCATATATTTTGTCATTTGTGTTAAGGTCTATTGTGTCAAGTTAGTATCCCCAGACATTCCTCAGAGCAAGTTCATCTACTGAGGTCTAGTCAGCCTATCTAGATTCCCTTACTTTAGGAAGATCAGCTCTTCCTCACTTAGCAGTAATCAGTTGCCAACATTTCTTCAGCTAAGATTGGAGTCTGCTGTCCATTTCCCCAGTTCTGCGCTGGGTTTTTGTCTGCTTAGAGTTTGCATGGGAGTTGTGTACATTGACACCTATGCTGTACATTGATATGAGCAGGGTCCCAGGAACTTGTAGGACTCTGTTTCCATATGGTCATGTACCTTCTCCCTGGCTCTTTACATTCTTTCTGCCCCCTCTTCCGAAATGATCCCTGAGCCCTGGGTGGGAGTGCTCTCCAAGAATCAGTATTCTGCAGACTCTGAATCTCTATACTTTGGCCATTTGTGACCTTTTGTGTTCCTAATCCTCTGTTGCATAAGGGAGCTTCATTAATGAGAGTTAAGAGACTCATTAGTGACCTCTTTATCCCTGTTCTACATTCTGTGAGCCTTGGGTGTTGCATTGTAAATGTGTCACTTAGGCCTAGGTACTTCATAGACAGTGTCTGTGTGTGACTAGTTGTGATACATGGTAATTGTCTCCATGCAAAAGAAGCTTCTTTGATGAGTGGTGACTGTGATATTTGTCTGTAAATATAAGGATACATATTTTGCAGATAGTAAGAAATTACATCAGTCTAGGGATGTGACAGTCTTGGGGTTTTCTCTAAGATCTGTGTCCCCTCCAGCCATGTGTATTTGGTTATGTTTACAGTACCACATTTGAGTTTCCTCCCATTGAGTGGGCTTTTAGTCCAATTAGGTAGCTGTTGATTGCCCCCAAGATAAAAATGCCACTACTACACCAGTGTCATATGCTGTGCTGATCATTGATGTGGTTAATTGGTCTTAAAGTTGGTGTTGGACCACTGATTGATGTTTTCCCTTGGCACCTTCATAGTGCTCTCCAAAGCTATGAGAACTAGCCTTCAAGGGAATTGGCTTTCAGATCAGTTCCAGGTCCATTGCTCCAAATCCTGTGTCTGAAGTCTGTTCTCTAGGGTCTTACCATCAAGTTCTGGGAGGCAATCAAGGGCTGTGGCAATAGCCTGCATAATTTGGAAGGGTCTCTGGGACTATCCTAGCCACCAACTCAAAGGAAGGTTTCTCCTGTCTGGCACTGTTTCTTGTTATGTAGCCTTTAGCTATACGTATGGACTCATTTGGAGATATTGTATATCTAATTTGTCCTTAGGTTGTTGGACTAATGTGATTTCCTCTGTTTTTTTAAAATGAGCGCTCTCTCTCTCTCTCTCCCCCCCCTCTCTCTCTCCCCCCCCTTTGTCTAACCCTTCTTCCATGGCTTCCCCAAAGCACCTTTACCCACTGAGCTAGTTCCTTGGTCTTGTATTTTCTATTTTAAGTTGCCTTAATTTCTCTCATTCCTTAAACCAAGTTCACTAAATGCAGTTTTCATAAGTTATAGTTATTATAGAAGATCCTGATTTTCTGTTCTAGGTAATTAGATGACTCCAAAATGGACTGAGTAGGTTTCATTTAGGAAAATAAAAGTAGAGCATGGAGACTAGAAAGGACCACGGAGACCTCTCAGCTGGCCTCACCTGAGTACTACCAAAGTCCACAGGTCTCAATGCAATTGAATAGAAACATCAGTCCCAGCTCCAGACTGGCCTGACACAAATTTGAGGGATAATTATTGAGCTCCTATTTCGACCTGACTGGATAAGTAGAGACCATACCAGGAAATGTAGTAAGTTAGAAGAGAAAAAACTGAAAAAAGTATACTTTAGATAAATGAGTCAGTATTTGTACAAGCCAAGAAACCTTCATGAGAATGACTTCTGTTTCTTATGCTTTTAATTAGATTTAGGTCACAGTCACCAAGAAGTCACAGTGAAAAACATGCAACTTTATGCTATCATCCACCTATTTTGCCTGAAGAAATGACAGATGTTTCAGTCACAGTTTGCCATATAAATAGCCCTGCAGATTTTTATCTTCAGTTGGTGAGTATATAATATTCTTTTAAGGGTTCTTTTTAAGTAGAAACGTTTAACAGGAATGAATGCTCAGTATCAATAGTACTTAGAGTAGATAAGCCTTCTGTACACCTAAATTTTTTAGAAGCTGCAACTTTAAACAAGAAGTTCACAGGAGTTCTAGCAAATCCTAAGAACCCTTCTTCTGCAACTTAGACAATGGAGGGAAAGACAAATGCAACTTTGTTTCTTGCTACCTTCTACATTCAAGAGAAGAGGAAAGCACCTTCTGACTATGAATATCTAAGAATTGTTATTACTAAGTAGTTTTCTGAATTTGAACTCCAAAGTAAATTAAAGGTTTTTCAGATTTAGTTTGGAACATGTGACCAATGTGTTTGTTTAGAAATCTAATCAAACAGCAGGCTCCACATTGACCTCTCAGTGCTTCATATGAATTAACACATCAAAAATCTTACATCTTTGCTGGATATGGTGGTGCATGCCTTTAATCCCAGCTCTGAAGAGGCAGAGGCAGGGAGATCTCTGTGAGCTCAAGGCCAGCCTGTCTACATAGTGAGTTCCAGGCCAGCCAGGACTACATGGTAAGACACTGTCACAAAATCTAAACAAAATAGATTTGGTGTCAGAATCTGTCTGCTTCCCTCACTTTGCTCTCAGTCTTCTCTGTAAGTTGTGGGACATTTGAGCTGCCTACGCATATGAATTACAAGAGGCAGAAACTAGCCTAACAGATGTTTCAGGGAATTATCATTTTTTCCCCAATAGTTGAATTTATCTTCGGGTACAAGGCTGACCAGTTTGGGTGGACTGTCTATATAATTATGGCCAGATTTGCATTCTCATGTTTGTTGACACTTCCTTTCTGGCCCAAATATTGCCAACATCCCATGAAGTAGTTACCTATTCAAGACTCAGACATAGAAGACAAGAAATCAGGGGAGAGAAAAATTAAGAAGCATGCTAAAAATAATTAATTAGGGCTTTTATGATTCAGCACCTGCTTTTGTTTCCTGTGAGAGGAGCTAAATTGCTTTCAATCAAAGCATAACCTAAAACCACCTATGTCCTTATAGCACAGCTGTGTAGACATTTAGTTGTCTATGTCTCATTTCTAACCATTGTGTTTTCATTTATGAATATTTTACACCACCTTTCATAATCTTTATGGAGAACAGAAAATATGAAGTTCTTCTTTCAGGTATGCATAAATAATGAATAAATGCCTCATAACTGGTAGTACTTTTTTTTTTCTCTTCAATGTATTTTTGTGATAGGGTCTCACTGTGTAGCCTTGGCTATCCCCAAACTTTAAATCTCCCTGCCTCAGCCTCCCAAAGTGCAGGGATTACAGTTATATGCTATCACACCTTGCTTGATAGTCCAATTTAACTATCAAAGGTTTATCATTCATTATGAGTCATTAAATTTTTAATGTTTTCAGGAAAAAAAACCTTAAGTCTTGTGTGAATTGGTCACTAATATTACAAAAATCCTGTGGTAAAGATGCCACTATCTCTTTTTGTATACGCAGAGTCCAACCATGACTCTTCTACTATGACTAAATTCTTATGCCTATGCAGTATTTCCTTGGTTAAAGCAAACCAGGCTTGAACTATGCCATGTGGCTTCAGAGCCTCTCCTCCAGTGCAATACTACGTTGTATGGTTGCCTAGGTGATTAGTGGAAGCTGCTTACCTGGTACTAAATTAAGACATGCATTTTTTTCCAATGTCTTTTTTATTATAATAAAATATTCATAATGTAAATGTACCATTTTAATCATTTTTAAATACAGTTAAATGCTATTAAGTTCATTCACTATTTGTGCAACCATTGCCACCATCATTTTCCAATGTCTTTTTTATTATAATAAAATATTCATAATGTAAATGTACCATTTTAATCATTTTTAAATACAGTTCAGTGCTATTAAGTTCATTCACTATTTGTGCAGCTATTACTGCCATCCATTTCCAGACAGAAAGCTGTACACCTATTAAACACATCCCATTTTCTCTCCTCTAGTCCCTGATAAACTCTATTTTAAGGGCTGGAGAGATGGCTCAGCGGTTGAAAGCACTGGCTGCTTTTGCAGAGGACCCAGATTCGATTCCCAGCACCCACATGGTGGCTACGAACCGTCCTTGGCTCCAGTTCCAGGGGAATCCAAAGCCCTCTTCTGACCTCCGTGGCATTGCACGACACAGGTGCACTCATACATGCAGGCAGTACACTCATACACATGAAATAGAAGTAATAAATATTTTTTCAAAAAACTATTTTAAGTACCTCATAAATGAAGTCATGTCAGTATTTTTCCTTTTGTGTTTGCCTTGTTTCACTTAAGCGTAATGTTTTCAAGTTTCATCTGTGTATCAGATTTTCATAGTATAAATGTATTATATTTTGCTTATCATTTATCTTTTGATAGACCCTTAGGTTGGTCCTCTTCTTTGGCTATTGTAAAATAATGATGTTATGAACATTGCTATAAAGTGTCTACTTGAGTCCGTTTTCAGTTCTTTTGTACCTAGAACTTGAATTGCTCGGTTTTATGGTAATCTCTGTTCACTTTTGAGAAACTGCCAAATTATTTTTCATAACAACTCTATAATTCTACAGCCATATCAGTGGTGCACAATATTTCTGTTTTTCCATATCCTCACCAAGTTACTTCCGTTTAATTTTTAATGATACTGTCTTTTCAGAGTGAAGTGATTTTTCTCATTATAGCTTTGATAATGGATTTCTATATTGATTAGCGATAATGAATATCTCTACTTGCGTGTATTTGCCACATCTGTATCTCCTTTGAAGAAATGTCTTTTCAAATCCTTTTTTCACGTTTTTGAATTGAATTATCTTCTTGTTGTTGGGTTATAGGAGTTCTTTATATTTTCTGGAGTCTAGATGTCTAAGATCTTTGTCAGCAGGGTTGGTTCCTTTGGAAGGCAGTAAGGAATCTGTCTCTTCTCTAGATTTTGGTGGATTTTCTGGCAGTCTCTGGTCTTCTTGGCTTCTTTGTATCACAGGGTTTCTCCCTAGAGGCATTGTGTTTTCCCTGTGTGTTTGTCTCAGTGCCAAATTTTACCCTTTTTATAAGAACACCATTTTATTAAATTACTACCTATCATTGTAACTTTGTCATCTACGTAGAGGTCCTGCTCCAGATATCACTTCACTTTCTAAGGTACTAGAAATTACATCTCCAGTAAATCTTTTTGGAAGAGATACATTTAAACCCTATCATTGAGCTTCTTGGATGTGTAGATTCACATATGTCATCAAATTTGGAGATTTTGTGTGTGTGTGTGTGCTGTTCTTTCTCTTTTTAATGCCCCTTTCTGTGAATCTCCTCCTTTAACCTCTGTAGTGCACATATTGACTATGTGATCATAACTGATAAGTTCATTAGGTTCAGTTCACTTCTCTCCATTCTTTTTATTTTCACTTTAAAATTTCAGTTGTTCTATCTCCAAGTATATTGATTCTTCTCACTCAAAGCTGCTGCTTAACCTATCCAGTGAATTTTTCATTTCAATTATTGTACTTTGAGGTCCAGAACTTTTCTTTTTAAAATTTTTTTAACATTTATTTTTATGCATATGAATGTAAGTGTACCACATGCATGCAGTTCCTACAGAGGTCAGAAGAAGGCATTGGGTCCCCTGGATCTGATTTTAAAGCATTTCAGATGTTATATTTTGGGGAATTTTTTTTTTTCGTTCACGTGTGCCTGTGCACAGGTTCAGTACACATGTGTATGGAAACCCTTGGTGTTATTCCTCAGGAACAGTCCACCTTGTTTATTGAGGAAGGGTCTCTCTCTTGGGCCTGGAGCTCAACAAATAGGCTAGGCTGGCTAGCCAGCAAGACTTATGGATCATCCTGTGTCTGTCTTCCCAGTGTGCCACCAAGACTGGCTTTTTCTGTGGGTGCTGGGAATCAAACTCAGGTTCTCATGCTTGTGCAGCAAACACTTTACCCATTGAGCCATTTTCCCAACCTCTGAGTTTTGTTTCTTTAAAAAAAAATTTATCTTGATTTGGGAATGTGGCTCAGTATGGTAGAGTGCTTGGGGTCCTGGGTTCAGTCTTCAGCACTACATAAATCAGGTGTGGTGGTACTTGCCTGTAATCTCAACACTCTGATGAAGGTGGAGGCAGGAGGATCAAAAGCAGAAAGTCAAAGTCATCCTTGTCTGCACAGGAATTAAAGACCAACCTGGGATACATGAAAGCCTGTCTCAAAAAAAAAACAAAAAACAAACAAACAAATAAACCTCTTGTTAATATTCTCGTTTACATATCATTTTCCTTTATCCCTTTTAGCGTATTTAACACAGTTGAACCAGGCCAGGTATTACATACCTATAGTCTCAGCTACTCAAGACTGAAGCAGGACAGTTGTTTCAGCTCAGGAATTCCAAACCAGCCAACATAATGAGACTCTACAAAAAATGAAAACTAAAAAGCCATTTCTGTTTGCTTATTTTGAACCTTTTTTGGTGGTATGTGTTTTATTTTCTTTATTACAAGATACTACAAAAAAGATTAGCTGAGACGTAAATGGTCAGGACCATAAGGTAAAATGACAGTGGTTCCTGATACTGTGATGCAGAACCTTCTGGCGTCTGGTGTTTTGTTTTTCAGTTCTCTGCCAGTTTTACACGTGTATGTAATAAATTTTGGTCATTTTCACCTTCTTACCTTCTCTCATCCCCTTCCTTTCCTGCTGAACCCTTCTTGTCAACAAGCCTCCCTCACATTTTCATGTCTTCTTTCTGTGTGTGATTCACTGTTATTAGGGTTGCTTACATGAGTGTTTGTCAGATGCTATGTACTGGAGCATGGGCAGCTTATGAGTGGGTACAGCACTGAAGAAAATGACCCCAGCATTCCCCAGCAAACATTAACTGTCAAAAGTCCCTCAAGGAGGTGTGGGACCACATGGGCCATCTTTTAGAGTTCATAGTCTCAGTCATAAAAGAATTTAAAAATGAG